TACCATTTTCGTATCAGTACTCTAGCTGAAAATTTTTTTTCCATCCGTACCCGATCCGACCCGAGAACGTTGTACCCGTGCCCGACCCGTATCCGACTTATGCCTAAAAATTTTCTTCTTTTTGTTTTACAGCTAAAAACTTTTATTTTTCGGCTCAAGTTGTCAAATTATCATTACGTTCTCAAGTAACTCTTTCTTAAACCTTCATGTGTTTTAGCTAAACTCCTGTATTTTTTGCACTAAAATTTTGTAGGTTTTGCACTAAAACTTTCCGGTTTTCGGGTAAATTAAAAAAAATAGAACCCAACCTTCGGATCTGGTCGGGTACGGGTCGGATTGCACATCTCTAGATCATACCATAAGATTTTATAAGATTTCACATGAGCCTACAAGCTCTTGTGACAAACTGTACAAGAACTTACAAGATTTCCTACAAATCGCGCTCTCTGATTCCATATAAGATTTTACCTGTAACTAGATTTCACAAGATTTTGCGAATTCTTATGATAAAGTATTGTTAGATCATATAAGAATTCATCAAATCTTACAAGATTTTGTCGATGATTCTGTCCTACAGATTCTCTCTATATACCCTTTTTAAAAAATTGTTTTTCTTTGCATAAGATTTCTAGAATATAGGTAGGACTCTGATGTCCTTAGGATCGTGTCTATAACCACGTTCCTTACAGCCATGCGCTTTATTTGCACTCAGCTGATGTGAGAAGCCGAAGAAAGAAAAAAATTCTAAGGTTTGTTATAAGAACTGCCCCAAGTCAAAGAATCTTGTTGTAAGATCTTATAAGATTTCTGTATGATTCCGTCTGATTTCGTAAGATTCGTATAAGACTTTGTAAGAAACATAGAAACTGATTCTTGATGTAAGATCTTATAGTCAGATTTCGTAAGATTCTTGTATGATTTTTATAAGATTTTATAAGATCTTGTAAGATTTTACACCTTTGTATAAGGCGCACGTAATTCAAAGTTACCACGCATTTTTATTTTTAATTCAAATAGATATATTCTGATAGAGCAAAGTGTGCTGATCACGAATATCGCCGTCCGAGTTTAAAAAAATACCATCTTCAGGGAGAAAGACCCGAAATACTGAGCTCGGGTCAAAACCACGAAAAAACGCATCTTTTCAGAAAATGTGCAGTCGCCATTTCAGATTGCATTTTAACTTTTTTTAACTAATATTTTCAGATTCTACATCGAAAAGTAAATCTAGAAAACTGTGTTTTAAAATTTTTCAGCAGAAACTAAAACACATATCAAGAGGTTCAGCCGGTGGAACTCGAAGTTCGACCCATCGATCTCGCAAAAACATCAAGTCCTTAGGGTTGTGAGCTAGCGACCTGACTCTTTCGCCATAAGATTCGACATGAAATTTAGAATAAAGTTATATGTGTACATTTTTGAATTTGTTCTTCAGCGTAGGGAAAAAAAATAAACATTGAAAAACGGCGCGTTTTGCCCAAAATCGGCTAAGTGATTTTTTTCTAAAACCTTGAATTTCTGTTCAAATCGCGTCAAAGTCATGGTGTATACCTTAAAAACGGTGACGAATCTGATACAAGTCATTTCAAGGTTTTTGAGCTGGTCTTTGGAGGGTCTCTGGAAAACCTACAGCAAAACATCGAGGAATTCCACACACTACACTCGAATTTTCAGTTTTCAGTCATTCATTGATCTATCACATGCGTCTTTATATCAAAGTCTGGATTAAAAATAAAATTTTACAAAAGCGTATCACGAAATAAAAAAGATCTGCTCTTTTGCTCATTTACACAAGAAAAGGAAAACTGTTCTAAAAATACAAGTTTAAGTTTAAATTTGTATTTGTAATTCTTCGATGCGAAACGATATTTTCCTTGGCAAGAGGAGTAAAGAACATGCACAGCACTTCCTTATAATCTTGACCCTGATCATAGGCATGTAGCGTACGCCCAAATCGTCGTTGAAGTTTACGATCTATTTTTTTCTCTTGAAAATTGTGATCCGATTCACTAATCAAATTTACCATTTTTGGAAAGGACTGTTCACTCTGTTTGCGCACGTCTAGAACAGACACAAACAAATCCCAGTTACTTTGTTAAAGTACAAATAAAGACGGATCCATTAGGGGTAATCGACCATACTGAGTTTCATGGTGATATTTATGTTTGCAAAACTTTTTAAAAATCTAGCGAAAAGCCAGTTTTACGAAAATTGGGCAAAAAATGGTCTACTTCGCCTAATGTAAGTTATCAGTAGGTTTTTGAAACTGTTTTGAAAAACAAATGCTGTCACAAGGTTTAGCATAGTTGGTAAATTATGTTTCCATTCATTTCTACAGTCCCAAACCTAACGGGAGAGGAGTCCTAAGGCTTTAAGGAAAACGCCCGTAGCTCCCGAACCATGGATTTTCGAGATGTTGCTTGGACCTGATTTTGTAGAGAACACCTTGGCCTATCCATATATAGAAAAGCTGATGGATTTCTATGTAAAACTTTGGAGCTGTAAGCTGGTTTTCCAGAGATCTGCTTAGAAATCTTACAGAGATCCGCGTAAAAATTTTGATTTCTGCATATTATTATGTGCCCCGATCGTGGTTACACGATGCCGAAAATCCGATGTCGATAGCTGATTCCGTTCTCGAGTTATCCATGTCGCATTCCCCAAACTATATTTGAAATAGATAGTAGTACTTGAAATTCTTGAGCTATGATCTAATTTTTCAAAGATCTCTTAAAAAGCCTAGTTTCGGAAAAGATTTTTGGAATTTTTCTGTTTAGAAAAGACGCACTCAAGTCTTCTGTTTCCAATGTTGAAGACCAGAACTCTCTAGTTCTTTTTGTTCTCGACTTATTCAAAAAATAATCGATCGCACTAGGTTTTTTCGATAACAGTGAAAGAGAAGAAACAGGTGTGTAGAGAATTCGGTTCTCTAGGAGACCACTTTTTGGTCGGTCTAAATGCTATTAAGTACTTCATTAAATTCAACATGTTTTGAAACCTCTACACTAGACGGGAACGTATAAGGTCAGAAATCGGCCCACTCTCTTTTCAGTGTAAAAATGGATTCCCATCAACGAAAAACGCCGCACAATTCAACAACAGATGAAAACAGATACATTTGTTTACTAAAACCCCTTAATTTCTCCACAATATCGTTCCCATCGGCGACCTCAAAACAAGTCCTACATGCTCATTAAACGATACCTCGCTCATACTTCTCACACACAAACAGACTAACAAAACACACAAATTCCTTGAAATTCTCCACTTACTGAGCTAGTCAGAATATCTTGACTGCTTGAGCCAGTCACCACAGACAAGCAAAAGAAACATTCGAGTGCCGAAAATGCCAGTAGAGCCCTCTTTCAGTCATGTTTCCTCCCCACAAAAAATTATATATTTTTCTATGATACACTGTTCGATACCCCTTGAAATTCTCAACAAATTGAGCCAGTCAGAGTATCTCAACCAGTTGCGACAGCCCGCACAGACATCCAAAACAAGCGTTCGACTACCAAAAAAGACAGTAGAATACTCTGTCACTCAATATTTTCTGAAAAGTAAAACAGTACATACTTCCCTATAACACACCGTTAGATAGCCCTTGAAATTTTCTACAAACTAAGCTAGTCAGAATGTCTTGAGTGGTTGGGTCAACCTACACAGACATCCAAAAGAACCACTCGGATACCGAAAACGCCACTGGGGCACTCTTTTACTCCATGTTCTATCTCTTTTAGTCAATATTTTCTGAGAAAATAAAAAATTATACTCTTTTGTATAATACACTGTTCGACAGCCCTTGAAATTCTCTACAAATTGAGCAAGTGAGAATGTCTTGACTGGATGGGCTAGTTTGCACCGGCATCCAAAAGAAGCAGCTGCCGAAAACACCACTAGAGCACCTTTTAATCAAGGTTTTCTGAGAAAAAGAAAAAGTATACTTCGATAGCCTGGGAAATTCTCTACAAACTGATATAGTCAGAATGTCTTGATCAGATGGGCCAGTCCGCACAGACATCGAAAAGAAGCGTTCGACTACCGAAAACACCACTACAGCACTCTTTTAATCAAGATTTTCTGAGAAAAGAAAACATTATACTCTTCTAGATAATATAGATGATAGGTACATCAAGTGGGCCTAAAACTTTCGCGGAACATTGGTTTGGTTAAGTCGCACTCACTAACAGTACAACACAAATCTTTTATCAACACCTTCTCTCTGAGTCAATTAGCGATGTAAGATTCTTACGGATGAAAAGATAAAGTTTTATTCTACAGTGGTCTATTTCCAATATTAAACTAACAAAAATATCCACGGTAGATGAAAGCACTTTTTTCGTAGTACAAGGCGTATTATGGTAGTTTTATAGAAGTCGCGACGAAAGTAACTGTACTCGGTCGACATCTACTGAGTAAATCTAGTCTTTCATTAGTGAACTAAGTTTTTTCTACGAGAACATATTTCAAAAAGTCGTATTTTCCGCAAACATTCTCGGTGTGACGTGTGACAGACACAAAAAAAAAGTGTGACACACACAACTCAACGAGCTCTTTCGAATGGTATATTTTGTGTTGCTTCAGTGTTTATATCCATCCGAAAACCTTGAAAAATACTGAATGAATCAGTGGCATACCCACCGTACGGAGCCCTTTGAGATGATGCATTTTCTGTTGCTGTCGAACAGTACGGTTGGTGATCGATCACGGATCTGCTGAAGTTCTTGTGACTGTGTCAGATCTTCATTATGCAGCAGATTTATTTTAAAGTAACGTTTTTAGTAAAACGAAAAGAGAACAATGAGAAAACGAAAAAACACAATTCACATGTGAATATTTGACAAATTACAGAAAAATAATAAATCTTTAATTAGCGATGTTTGGATTGCAGTTTCCTATTTTCGATAAGTATAGTCGCATTAATTCGTCATTGATTTCGCGAGCAAGCTGGAGAGTAGTAGATGGTTGATAATTCGGTTGTGCGCTTTTGTTCAATAAAAATGACACATTTGGAATCAGGGCATGAATCTGCATCGAATGATGTGGGATTACTAGGTTTTTCTGAGCAAAAACTTGTCGGATCTAATGGAACGCCAGAGTCGAAGCATAGCGTGACAATTTCGGCTAAGGATTTTAAACTGTACGCGGCCGATATCTGCTGGGTAAATCTAGTCTTTCATTAAGGGTACCCCTCCCCTCTTTTTGAACTTTCCGTAGAAATGCTGTGAAATAAAAGCTAAAATTCGCTAGGGCTTCGCATTTCCAGAACGGATCGGAAACTCAATGGAGCACTTTTTCGTTCTTGTCGCAAGTTTTCAAGTATTGTTGTTCACCAGCTTTTCAGAAAACTCGGTTTTTCATTGTGCCGCATTACGACCGCCCTTAAATTTTATTCGATCGAGTTCAAAATTTTACCAGAGGTACTCAAGGTCATTCCGCAGAGCTAATTTTTCGGAAATGTGTTTCAGCCCTTTCCTGGTTGAGTTACAGAAAAAATACTGAAAAACGTCTCAAAAACCAAATCTTTCAATTTTGGAAACCCTATAACTCGGTAAAGAAAAGTCTAAAATAAAATTCCAAAAAAATAGCTCTGCAATAGTGTCTTGAGTACCTCTGGTAAAATTTTGAACTCGATCGGATGAAATTTAAGGGCGATCGTAATGTGGCACAATGAAAAACCGAGTTTTCTGAAAAACTAGTGAACAACAATACTTGGAACCTTGAGACGAGAACGAAAAAGTGCTCTATTGAGTTTCCGATCAGTTCTGAAAATGCGCAGCCTTAGCGACTTCTAGTTTTTATTTCACAGCATTTCTACGGAAAGCTCGAAAAGAGGGGAAGGGTACCCTTAATGATAGGAAATCGTTTGACATCCAGAATGTTTCAAAAATTCTTTCGTTTTCGGTAGTGTCACTACTTAGCTTTAAAATTTTGTCTATTGTGATTTGAATCATTCAAACGTTATGTATGTTTATTCATTTTAGTTTTTTCCATTGCCTGTTATAAATGTGCATCGATCAATGGCAGCGATCCCACGTGTGATGATTTGTTTCACGGTGAAATATTGAATCAAACTTCGAAAATAGATTCACCATGTCTTACAATGGTCAGACGTAGAAATGGACAATTTTATGCTACACATTGTGTCAAACTCATTGCCGATTCAGGAAGTAGGTAATACTGTATTAATATTTTAGAAAATTATTTTCTCTTGTCGATATTTCTAGAACCGTTTAATATTCGTTATACAGTTCGTACATGTATTCGTGATGAGGAATCTCAAACATCATATAGTGGTCTGACAGCCACAAGTCATTGTGGATGGATTAAACTAGCATGGATTAACAAAAATAAACGTTTTAAAGGTTGTATACATTCATGTGACAAAGATGGATGTAATCAGACATCAAAAATGAAACACAACTATATTATTTTGTTTTTGCTTCTATTAGGTATACAACTATTGAACTAAATACTTCATTATTTAGCTATTAAAAAAGATATTTTCTAATAATTGGACTTCACGTTCATACCAAATGACGAATTATCAAGTTGAGTAGAACAGTGTGATATATGAGTGGATCATTGAGTAAAGGACCCAACCTGTAACAGAGATTCTGGTCTATAATTTTGGTATTTCAATCTGCATTTACCATCTATCTAGGTTCAAAAAGGTTGAAGTTGTTTTTCAACAGATCTATCAGAGCGGATTTCAACTTAAGACACATACACAAGTCAGATTCGACTTTATTATAACTGATCATTTCTTCTACTATATTTATTTTGATTTTACCTCTCAAGAAAAAATTTCTTATTCGCTTTTATATTATTTATGTATAAGCATGTGCCAAAATATTCAAATATAAGCTTTAAAATTTCTGTCGTTCATTAAACAGAAGAAATTTACTAAGGAAAAAATATTGGGAAACTAATCTGTAGAAGAAACTCTTAACAGAATTTGTTCTACTTATTTATGATGCTACAACCAACGAAGAAAGATCACAATAAAGATCGACTAGATATGGACTTTCGAAGTCCATCAATCTCTACGTAAGGCCAGGGATTTATGGACCTACGTAGACTTCTAATGACTTACGTCGATTCAGATGGACTTTTCTGGCTTTACAGAGTTTATTAGGCTTGAAAAAGTCCATTGTACATTGTACTTTGAAGTTTGATAGGCTTTCAAACTCCATCTAAGTACATTAGAATCCATACAAGTCCAACAGTCCAAAGATCTACCTTTTCCCCCTTGATAAAATCACACTTCTAGACCACTTTGATCCTGAGGTTGTGGATCATTTTGGGAAACATCCGATTGTAAGTTACCTTACAGTTCATTTGGACGAAGATCTAGATTTTCATTTTCTCCGATATATGTTTTACTACAAACACCGTATCCCACAGACGGTATTAAGATGATATCGTCTAGCAGTATTATTACTGTTAATTCGGATCTTTTCTCGCTATCTGACGCGTTTTGTTCAACATCATACCAAGATTATTACGATATTTAACGAATGTTCGATAATCGTGTTTTTGAACAGTTTTCCGAAACTTGTTTCTAAATAATTTATGACGAACGAAACTCTAAATAATTTATGAAACTTATTTCTAAATAATTTATAGATGGACGAGGATCAGGAATTTCTACCATTTTCCATGCTCAGATCCTATATAGTTCTGATCCCGATTTAACAGAATCCTATGAAACTCCTAGAGGCTTCCTACCATAGAATTGACAAGCATTTTTCGATGGACCGAACACCTATCACTTTCCTATAGGAATTTTACAAGAAGTCTTAGGATCCGTCGAGATTATATAAGATTTCTAAAGGATTATCCGATCTGGGTAAGTTTCAAATGACCGTCTATTATTTAATAATGGATGATTCAGTTCATATTTTGAATGTTGTGGTCGAACCTCGGCACCGTCAAGTCGTATCATCAACCTAGGAACAATATTTTTGTTTCATTCTAATCATAGTGGTCTCTCAAGAATTTCTGAATATACAGGTCAGTCAACAATAGGGATAAAAGACCTTTAATCTGCTTATAATATATGCCCTCAACTAAAAAATAAACATTATTGATACATACGCGTATAAAATCAATAATATCGAGGACATTGAACCTGTATCACTTTTTCACTCATCATCTTTTTCAAACTCTTCTTTTAACATAACAATGCTTCATCGGCAGGTATCGGGGTAGTCCACAACATCAAGACTAGCCAGCTTGGTGTCTTCATCAGTATTAAAACTTGAGATAGTATAAATTAAATGATTTGAATCAATTATTAATTTTAATATTAATCCAGCAAAACGAAGTACTCCGTTCAAATGTTTTGTTAATTCTGAGATTGTCACAAACTTTTTACTGTTGATGAGGTCTAACCTTGGTTAAACGAAACGTCTAATTTTCAATAATAAAGTAAGGTGCTGGTATGCAAAAGTTCAGCAAAACAATAATTACCACTTCTTTTATCACAGTTGAACTATTAAAAACTGTCTAGACATATAGATAAATATATAATAAATGATGATAATCTATTGCATGATAATGTTTTGATATTTTATCCCATTTGTTCAGCTTTTTCGCTTGCTGTAATCAAACATATAACTTTAACTATAGTCGACAAAATCTTTTTACATTTTTACAGTAGATGATAAAATCGCGATTGTCCC